TCATTTGAATATTTTGGCAAAGTTGGATATTTTTGTTAGTGGAAGGGACAGGAGTACATTTTTAATTTTTGAAAAGCAGCCACGTTTTTCAAGCTGTAAGCCGTCTTGTAGCCCTAAGCATAGGTAGACGCTTGGCTTTTCTTTTGGCGAAACCAGCAGATCCAAATATAGGTTATGGTTTTGAGTTAAATTTCTTAACAAATGAATTGCCATGAAAATTACATTAAATGTGATATTTTATGTTAGCATTGTCAGGGTGAGCAGGTTAGCATTTTGCTTAAAGCACCACTGTGGTAATGTACGGCCCATAGATAGAAATGGCTGCTGCTCTCACAGTGAGGATGCATCAACACAGGCAGCCATGTTGGGACTGGGATGCCCTGCCTCCTAATGCGTGTGTGAAGGCAAGAAGCCTGTTCACAATTAAAATCACCATAGCTCACAGAATTTACAGCCAGTTTTCCATCTACTTGTGGATGTGGGTTTTTGTATCAAAAGAGATTGTAACACTAATATTGGACTTGCACACTGATTATTTTTAAAGTATAATTTTTGGTTACTGCATTGTACAGTCTCGCTGAAGTTATTTTGGAAAAAAATGTATGAAAATACAACAAACACTAAAGTTAGAAGATTAAATACATTTTTGGCATGCTTCACATTTTTAAAAATTAGGTTTATATTGAATTATTCATATGTTGCTCACTTACATTTTAATTCACATTATTTACTATATGTAGGCTGCATTTTATCGGCTGGTTGGTGCAGAGGAACAGTTAAATGACTGAGCGGTCACTTTCTCCTTAGTACTACTGTCCATATCTGTCTCCTAAACAAAAGAAGCCCATCAGAGAAACACTGCTCAATTCTGCGTGCTTTTGTAGCTAAGGTTATGTTACTGCATGTCATGTTGTTATTATTATTAAAAAATGTCATACAGTAAGAACATGCATCTTACACCAGAGTTAGCTAATAGCTAATTTTCATCTGCAGTCCCTAAAGGAGGGGGAACTGGCTGCAGACAAAAGATGGCGGACTGTCAGCCTCTGCCAGAAAATGTCAATTTTTTGTAGAAGTTGGGTTAACCTGACTCCGTTAAGAGCTTCCAGCTAATACTACGTTTCTCTAATTTCTAAAAGGATGCTTTAAAGTAGACGATTTAAGGCTGCTCAACACAATAACGCACACAGTGACAAAGATGATGAAATATAATTTCCACTGTCTCATTTTTATAGTACTTTAATAAAAATAAAAAAGCACTTGTTTCTTCACTTGATAGTTAGCTGATCTTTTCTAAGTATCCATAGTCATTTTACATTAGCTTCAGAGAAAGATTATTTGTTGTAGTAAATTAAATTTGTAACAGTAAAATAATAAGATGGCTTCTCACCTGTGAACTGTTACTCTGTGCTGCTTGGTCATCTTTCATTAGAACGTCCAAAAGTCTCATTTTCTGTCTGAACTTGTCAGAACCCCTGATGCAATATGGCGGTGTGCAAGTCTTCTAAGACCCAGTGTGGTGTCAACAGTATATTATGTATACTGTAAATCTATGACTATAGCCTCACATAGCCACTAGCATGGTTATAGAATCTTGTTTAGGTAACAGCAGCACAATAGACCTGTTGTACAGTCAGTGCTGACATACAAGTTATCAATTTAATACCCTTCTCTCATTATTTGCTGTAATGATGTACAAGTGTTCTTTAGAAAAGCACAACGCCCATGGGTGTGTTTACATGTGCAACAAAGTACTTCTGATCACACCCAACCATAAACACACATGCAACTTGAAACCCAGTGAGCCCAGAGCAGTGAGACATTGGCTTTCAGCCTGTCATTAAGTAACTCTTTAACTCGGACAAGAACTTCAAACCACTATATAGTGTAGTGTAAGTTACTGAAGCAATGCCACATAAAGGAAGAGCTTTTTATACAGCATGTGTTTTCCCAGGAGGCCCTTGCCTCATAATCTCTTGTCTCATGACACCAAATCAGACAGTTGGTATGTAACTGATAATCATCCAAATGTTAAAATTGCTTCACGCATATAATTAGATGACAGTGAAAGAAACAACTGGTCACATTCACATAAATAGTACTACTTTATTTCCTTTTAGAGATATAACCTAGGTGTAGGAACTGATACTGTTACCAGGTATAACGTATCCAAGCATAAAGTTTCATATTCAAAAACATGCTTAATGTAATGTAATATTCTTGGCCTCCATTAAATCATCAGGTCACATTAAATAAAATGTCACAAAGTCCTTCTAGAAATAACTATAAGATTAAAATGTTATTTAAATCAGTTATTAGCATGAGCCTTGCTTGGTCATAACAGTAGCTAACATCTACCTGTGTCCATTAAACTGATTATGTAAAACAATGAAAACAGTGAAGGTTTCAGGAGCAGGGCCTAGTCAGGTATTTCCAGGTATTTGTGCCAAGTGCTGCTGATACCTTAATTGACCACTAGAGGGCGCATTATTTCATCTGGAAACCTCAGGTTGATAAAGTAGTTCCATTTGTTCACTTACAAATCAATTTCTGCAATAACTGTTTCTGGTTTTGGTCTGTGTTTGACAGGTAAAGTAAGATTGAAGTATTTAAGTCTTAGTTTTAGTATTTAAGTTGACTTAGTATTATTTGATCATTTAGTATTATTTAATTAGCATTTATTTGCTTAGTGTTTAAGTCTTACGTCTTAGTATTTAAGTCTTAGCATTTATTCATCACGTTTACACTTATTTGGATTTTTTAAAAATAAATCTGCAATAAACATCCACGGTGATGACCAGGATATTTTCAGAATCATGTTCCAGCTATTCACTTTTGCAAACCAATTTCAATTCCTAATCCTAATCTCCTGCTGTCAGTACTGTCAGCATGTTAAAAATGCCCCCTGAATGTTCAGCAGAATGCAAATATACTCAGAGTATAGACTACATGGAGTTAGAGCACTGTAAAAATCCCAAGCATCTTATTTATAGCCTATAAATGTTAAAAGCAAATTTGATTAGTGTGATAAAACACATCTGCTATCCTGAAAAGCCTTCTGGTCCTTTTCTAATGTAAACATGTTAAAAGAGGGGAAAAATCCAATATTCTAAACCACACAATAGAATAAATGATGCAGGAACATCTATTAATTTTGGAAACGTGTAAACACTATTTTCCAAGTCATGGAAAATTAATACCAAAATGAACATGTCAGAAATCCTATTACCACCTCATATAGAAACTGCAAGAATAAACACAAATTATTGACTATATTTTTTGAGTATATATTTACAACGATTCTAGTAACCTATGCATAGTTGGATATATGCCGCCCTAAACACTGAACAGTAATTTAAAAAAAGTCATCTGGTAACTATGAGCAGTTAGCAGTACTGTAGATGTAATGAAACAACCCTGACATTATAAAAGAATTATATTGTAACTTTAGGATTTAACTCACAAAGTCACTTGCAGGTACAGGCTCCTTAGCAAATGTGTGACTTTAGCTGCCAAGATAAGGCATGTCTGGCAGTTAAAGGTCACGAGGCAGGAGGTGATAACACCAACAGCTTTGTGTTTTGACTGAACATTGCTCAGATGGGCTTTACTCCCTTCTCTAACTTTGCAACAGTAGAGTTGAGATGTGAGTTCACATTAGCTGTGTGGAAGGGAACAAGGGAGTATAGAATAACAATGTGCATTTCCAGATGCAATGGAATAAGGAATTGGGGGGGGGAATACACTTCACAATCTTTTTCAAAAGCTTGAGCGTCCACCTTAAGTTCAAACTATTGCTTCCAGGGTCAGAAATAAACTCAAAGGGAAGCTTGAGTCTTACTCCTATGTAGGAGGGTGGGGGCCTGTATATGCCTGTGCCCAGGGGCCCAGTGTCCATGTAAATGACAAATGTGCTCTTAGTTAATTTCCTAATTAATTAAACCCTAAAAAATAACAGTTAATCTATTAGAATAATAGGGGCTCTCTAAGCATGTTAATTCTGCTAAAACACAGCCTCCACTGATATGAGATATGTTACATAAGTTAATTTTATGTATCTTAAACACCTTTTGGCCCAGAGTTTGTGATGTAGATGAACAAACATTTACCACCGTTTTTTATCATTCATCTGATGCTTTATCACAGACTGAACAAATACAGTGGGTACGGAAAGTATTCAGACCCCCTTACATTTTCACTCTTTGTTATATTGCAGCCATATGCTAAAATCATTTAAGTTCATTTTTTTCCTCATCAATGTACACACAGCACCTCATATTGACAGAAAAACACAGAATTTTTGACATTTTTGCAGATTTATTAAAAAAGAAAACGATCTACATTTTATTGTCTTTTTCAAAAATTGTGTTTTGACCCTGTAAAGCCTGACACATAAAAATAATAGCCAGAACATTTTTAATATTTTGGAACTGAGATGTTGATTAAACCTTTTAACAAAAGAGTTAAGATTCAACATTTAAGATTCTTACTTGCCATAGGAAGGAATAAATGTGCCATATTAGATTATTTTCATTTTTTATTGTATCACATTTGATACATGGGGCATTTTTGGCAACTTTTTTTGCTCAGAAACTCGTGTAGCAAATATGATACAAATGGTTTTATAGGGTTAAGTTAAATATGAAAGTATAATTGTTTTGGGACCAGTTCTTCTTCCAGCTTTGTCCACCGAAGGTCATCATTTCACTGGCTCCATATCAGTACCTGACTATATACAGTATATTTACTGAAAGGTGGTGTATACTGACAGTGTAAACATAAGTATATGGGAACAAACTGCTTTGCTGTGTGAAGATACATGTGTCATGTTAGGTGCATGTGGATTTTGCCTAGGAAGTGTCGCTATGTCCAAGTATGAAGTGGCAGAAAATAAAAAAATACTCATTTGTATTAAAGTACAGCACTTTTCCACCGCTCTATATGTGCTTTGCTCTGCTTTAATGTAAACACAACCGCGCAGTGACGATAAACTAGGTGGGAGCTGGTGGTGACGTCACGACGGCGTGCCCGGCCCACGTGCATTGGGCTCCAGCCTTGGGGTCCACACAGCCAGACTTCCTAGCACAAGGGCGGCTCGTTGCGGAGCTGGAGAACGAACCTAACCGGTGTCAGATTATCGCTGTCATCTAAATCTCTACCGACGTTACTGTGAGACGCCTCCTCGCTCAAATTCGGCGCAATTTGATGTCAACTCGAGTCTCCCTCCACCCCCTTGAGGATGCTTTGCGGCGAAGATGCGGCGGTCTGAAATTTCCATTGACCTTCGCTCAGCAGCATCGAAGCACTGTACTAAAGGGGCGCCCCTGCCTCTGCCTCACATAAACTCCCGGTGTCGTTAGAAACACAGGTGTTTTGATTGTCTTCTAGCCGCCAGTCTCCCATTTTCTTTCTACTCAATCAAGACCGAGGCAGATGCCCGTCGCTCTGTCACCCTGGCTTGTACTATGGTGGAGTTTCCATCTCTCAGTCCTTACTGGCCTCTCATCCGCTTTCTGGTGCCTTTGGCGATCACCAACGTTGCTATCGACCTCGGGGAACAGGTAACGTGCCTGCTGTTCTTTCCCAGGCCGCTGTTTTTAGTGTAGATCAGTGTCAAAATGCTCAGCACTGCAGCGCTAACCGTTTTATTCCGGCCCTGAGAGATTTTTCTCCGGCGTGTCAGCCGCTGAGCATCAGTGTCAGAGCCCCGGAAAACATCGACGCTGCTCCCCCCCCAGTCCAGAGTCTGGCTTGTGCTGTAGCTACAGCTGGTTTAGCCGGCAGTCATTTAATCTTTAAGGGTTTATAAACATATTGGTGGAGAAGAGCTGTGTGGACCACTCTCAGATGTTAAACGTAGCCTGTAGCCGTCTTGATTCCTGTCACTAATGCATCGCGCTCCTGCAGATTTGACTGTTTATTGTCCAGCCTGAACCAGACACACAGCAAACTACCCGCCATTTATCTGTTTTATCAGTTACATAATGGCAGTTTCTAGTTAATCATGGCGAGTTATGTACACAGATTAAACGCACCCGGCATTTTTGCTTGTGCGTTTCTTTAATTGGCCTGTTTTCTTGCTCGGACATTTCCTGTCCTCCCTCTGTCATATGACTGATCTGGTGGCTGCCTTTTCTCAAGGGACACTGAGCAGATAGTGTGAGTGAAAGCATACAGAGGCTTGGAGATGCAAGGATTAAGCTTATGTAACGGTTCTGTTAGGTGGTATAAACAGTGCACTGTCCAGCAGGGGGAAAGGGCAGCTGTAGTAGTTCTGATAAAAACGAATTGTCATGCTGATTTCCACACATTAATGGGAAGTAGTGCAAGTTTTACACTCGTATCTGTTTTTCCCCTTTATCTTTTAAGCATTAACTTGAATAATTATATGGATTTCTTGTATTTTAGGTTCCCTTAAGGCAGTATGATGATAGTCGTGTTTTACCTGAATATGTAGTATTTGATTTTAAGTCACTGTCAAATGTTTGTTCTGCTTGTGAAACTAATTTGGGTTTGTTCTGTGTAAGCAAAGCATTCATGCAAAAGAGAACCACCCTGTATTAATAAAGGTTGGATAAGTAAATGATTGCACTGCATGCTTGGCTGAACCCGAAGGTCTTTTTTGTTGTTTGTTCCTAGAAAAGCACATGTAGGTGTTTTCTTTCAAATGCAGTATAGTTTAGGGCTGCAGTAGAATAGCAGTTGCCATGTGGTCAGAGATAAAGTTAGGCTAAGTCATGGCCATGTGGGCTGGTTGTGCCACCAAAGTGAATTTTTCTCCCCTCTCCACACCCACCCTGTGATCTGTCTTGCAGGCCCTCAACAGGGGCATAGCCACAGTCAAAGAGGATGCAGTTGAAATGTTGGCCAGCTATGGCCTGGCCTACTCCCTGATGAAGTTCTTCACTGGACCCATGAGCGACTTCAAGAACGTGGGATTGGTGTTTGTTAACAGCAAGAGGGACCGGAAGAAGGCTGTGTTTTGCATGGTGGCGGCGGGGGCCATCGCATTTGTTCTGCATATCTTGATAGGTGTGTGTTTTAAAGATTATTTGTGCATGTGTGATGCCATTCTGTGCTAAGCTCAGTAATCAAGTTAAATGATGGGTAACCATCATTTGGCCCCAAAGACTAAGGTATCAGGCTGTGACCTCAAAATGCTTCAGGGCCCTATAAGAAGCAGCACTGTTTTCCAGCCCCAACCTAAAATGCAATGATTTCATAGACACCATTCTTCAACCCTAACATGTTGTACCACACACATCAGAAAATGTTTCCACTCTGACCTTTAACACAAAGCACCTCTGGATCCTATCCTCACCTTGACACATAATATCTGTACTGTAATAGCTCGGGGTATACAGTGGCTAGCCCCAGTGACTTGGTAAGCAGTTTCAGCTAACAGCCAGGCTCGCTCAATTGTCCAACCACTGTCACTATTCTGCTCATGTTTCATTGTAGCAACCTTGGACAGTTTTCCTTCAGTGGAAAATCACAGTGCCTGCTCTTGAAAACTGCAAAAATAGCCCTTTCTTACGTGTGTGTGTGTGTGTGTGTGTGTGTGTGTGTGTTTTTCCTCTCATAGCGTACACAGATTTAGGATACTACATCATTAATAAGCTCCACCATGTGGATGAGTCTGTGGGGAGCAAGACAAGGAAGGCTTTCTTATACCTGGCTGCTTTCCCTTTGTTGGATGCAATGGTGAGTGTAGAGTATAGCAGCAGACATTTTATTAAGAAAGTGATGGATTTAAACACACCGGAACTAGAGTTTTAATTCTCTGTTCATGCAGATTGTGTGTAACAGACTATTCATGCTCACCTATGTAACATAGCCTGACATTCAGCTGTAACTGAGAAAATGGCCAAAGTTTTTGTTTGTTTGGTGCCTGGGGGTAACGTTTCTCTCCATCCTTCTGTTTGAAGGCATGGATTCATGCAGGGATACTTCTCAAGCACAAGTACAGCGTCATAGTAGGCTCTGCCTCCATCTCTGATGTTGTGGCTCAGGTAATAATATCCAGTCCTTGGTTTAAAATTTAATGCTGAAGGCTACATTTAAATGCAGGTTTTGTGTGTTCTGTTCTTTCCCGCAGATTGTGTTTGTGGCCATTCTCCTCCACAGTAACCTGGAATGTGTGGAGCCTTTACTCATCCCAATCCTTTCCCTGTATATGGGCGCCTTGGTCCGTTTTAGTATTGTCGGTATGGCTTACTACTGTAACATTCACGACAATATCCCAGACTCCAGTGGACTTGATGTGGGGGTAAGTGCTGCCTTTAGTTTTCACCAGAGCCGTTAAGATAGAAGAGTTGTGACATTGAGGGGTTAAAAAATGGCAGCAGGTCATGCCACTCAACTTATACAGCCTTGCAAACTAATTCTCTGTTCTCGTTGTAGATGGTTCAGCTAATTTAGCTAGGTACCTAATTATTGAATTAACCCAATATTTGAGAGAGACCTTGGCCTTAGTGACTGGATTCCAACATGGGTTCAGACTGAAGGAGTTTCTTGAAAACCAGCAGCTCTGATGGCCATGCTTTGCTCCCCACTACCACTGATACCTAAACACTCAAACACCAATCTAGTACTTGATCAGTCTTTGTGTATCTGGAGGCAGTTTAGAGCTCATTTTTGGACTTCAGACACATCCACTGTTCTCCCCTTGCAATAGAAATTGGTCGTAGACTGGCAATGTCTATGGGTTTTGGTGTGGGAAAGGCAGCAGAGCATTAACTAAGATTTTGCACATTTTTTGATAACTCCAGTTAGCATGGTTAAGATTTTACTTTTGTGTTGAATTAATATGATTTTAATTTGGGAGAAATTCGAGCTTAGTGCGTTGTTAGCCCCATTCAGGACGATCTCGTCACTTGACATTGTGCCTCTGCAATGCCGCTGTAAATCCGGGACTTGTTAGTTAACTAATGGTAGCTTTGGACTGGTGAGTGCGTTTACAAGATATCAGTTTGTTTTGTGTCTTACCAGGCCCTCTAGTGGCTAAAAAAGAAATTACTTAACGTACCTTTAAAGCTCTGTACATAAATACCACTTTTGCATTCTTTTCCCAGATACCTTCAAAGTTTAACTCCCTTAAAACCAATACATTTTAGATATTTTCAGATTCACAATTTAGTGAGGAAAAAGTTTGCACAAGTCCTGCAACTTGCCCCTCACACACAGCCTGATGCCATACTACAGATTGATGTCTGTAACAAAGGAGTCGTGTCTGTGGCTTGAGGGTCTTGCAGGCCTTTCTCCCTCTCCAGCTTCTGCTGCAAGACAGAACTAGGAGCCTGACTTTGTGTTTGGACACAATGAGTGGAAGTTTTAGGCAGAATCCACCCCTCCTCTATCTTCTCTGTCTGTACCTGTCACAGTCTAATACAGGTCCTAACAGGCCCCAGCTACATTGATATTTTGGCTGCCTGTTCTTTGGAGGTTGGTCTCTGTAATCAGCCCTTGTCCATTTACTGCACTATTCAGCCTTCTACCAAGAACCACTAAGCTTTCCAGTCCCCTGAAGGATGTTCCAGCCTTTTCAACTGTAATAGCAAGATGGCTGAAATCCAGTCACTCACCCACCCATATAAACTGGGTGTGGTGTGGGATTTAATGAACTATAATCATCTTGAAATGATAAGGTGTTTAAGGAATGATCAAGCAGATCCTTTTCAGATTGTCTGGGAACCATTCATTTCTTACTTCTCCCTTTGCGCCGACTGGATCATTCTCACACCATCAACCTCTGAACCGGACATCCTTTTTTTAATGTAATTTTGTTAATTTTCTTTTTTTAATTATTGTGATCATTGCTTCATAACTATCAGTTTTGAGTGCTTGTTTTGTTTCTTGTTGTTCCATGATTTGATTGCCCCAAACTACCAGAGATTATGTGATTGTCATCTTCTTAAATTGATTAAAATGCAAAATACAGTTCTAAAAACTGTTAAATTTTTGTCACAGTCCCACAGTAAGAAAAACAAAGGAAAATACTAAAATAAATGACGGGCTGCTTTGTCAGGTATACTTTACAAACCACCTAATTGAGCCACCTGCACCGAGCATGTGTTTCCTGAAACACATGAGTGATTTATCGGGTTTGTTTTTGTCCCTGCAGGGTGATGCCACCATCAAAAAGATGCTGAGTTTCTGGTGGCCCCTGGCCCTCATCCTGGCCACTCAACGCATCAGTCGACCTATCGTAAACCTCTTTGTGTCTCGTGACCTCAAGGGGACCAGTGAAGCCACAGAGGTGGGCGTATCAAACATTAGTCATGCAACATGTCTCTATCGAGTGTCTGGAAAGCATTTTCTTCTCATTTCTTGTAGTGACTTGGTTTCATGTTTGAAAGAAGAGAAGTTATTTTCCAATTTAGAGGCAACACATGATTTAATATTAACACTAGCATTAATGTAGGCCATTGTTTGATTTAGTGAAACATTAAGTGGGACTTTACAGTGGACTAAATTCCCCTCAGGTTATTGCAGATGAAATGATAGATGCTAAAAACTCCTTCTGGAGTGTTCTGGCTCCCAGAGACCCAAATGACTAGGGACAATACAAAGCTGTTTACCAGAATGAACTGGGCTCCACTGACAGCACTGGCTGCCAGTTGTTTGGGTGATTCACCATATTGATGTGAATCTCAGCATGATTACACTAAGTGCAAACATTCCCTGGCCCTACTGCTCCTGCATAAAGCCTGACACTGCCTGTTGTTTAGGACACAATAACAAGCTCAAGGCTGTTGGCTAATCATAAAGTTGTGAGGTACCACACATCACTGGGAAAGTGAGAGATGCGCATGTTGTTTTCATTTTGGCCACTGTCAGACACCTGTGATTAATTCAGCTGCGGTGTGTGTGTGGTATTTTCAGCACTGAAGTGGTAGCGTTATGACTTACAGCTGTCTTTGTCATTCCAGGCTGTGGCAGTGCTCACAGCCACTTACCCTGTGGGTCACATGCCCTACGGTTGGTTAACTGAACTGAGAGCAGTGTACCCTGCCTTTGACAAGGTAAACCAGCCTCCCCTACCTGTGTTTTGTTGTAGTGGTAATAGTTAATGGTACATGCGTTGCTTTATATCACTTGTGTTCTTCTTCTACCAACAGAACAATCCCAGCAACAAGATGAATGCTGGCAACCCCGTCACCAAGTCGCATATTAAAAAGTTTACATTTGTCTGTGTGGCTCTATCACTCACGGTAAGATGAGGGAGTATTTTATTTAGTTTTGAACTTTTTCAATGACATCATTTTACTGGTTCTGGGATGAATTGGCTCAGAAAGAAGGTGAGGTTAATGGGTTAATTTGTAGCCTGTTTCGAAGTGACTTTAAACTTCAAGCTGGAATTTATTAAAAAAAAAAAAAAAAAAAGACAGAAAGGGACCTTTCTGTATGGAGTCTGCATGTTCCCCCTGTGCCTGCATAGGTTCTTTCCAGGTACTCCGGCTTCCTCACACAGTCCAAAGACATGCAGCTTGGGCTGATTGGCAATTCTAAAGTGTGAGTGTGTATGTGCACATGTGTGGTTGTCTGTCTCCAAGTGTCAGCCCTGTGATAGACTGGCGACCTGTCCAGGGTGGACCCTGCCTCAGGACCCTCTTCAGGATAAGCACTATAGATAATGGATGGATGAAACAAATTATGTATCCCTATTCAGGTCAGACAGGTTTCTACATCTGTTGAAAACTGCCTAGTTTTGTGTTTGTACAGTAACAGCTTTGAGATGCTAATAGTAATGGTAATCTGGTCTGTCATGTATCTGCTTCCTCGCTTGTTTAATGTGAGCTTCAAAGGCCCACATTCAATCCGAAACCTCTTGAGTAAATGAACTAACGAAGCATCCCGGACAGTTCTGTTGTGGTGCAACAGATTCAAACATTAATTTACCTTTGTTCATTTTGTGACCAGCTTTGCTTTGTGGTGTTTTGGACCCCGCACGTGTCAGAGAAGATCCTGGTCGATGTCATTGGAGTGGAGTACGCTTTCGCTGAGCTGTGTGTGGTCCCGCTTCGAATCTTCTCCTTTTTCCCCGTGCCAGGTAAGACACGCTACTGGATTTTTCTCCATTGTTGATGTCCAGCTGGATTTTCCTTCACGCTGTGGCTTTAACTGGTACGTAGCTCAAAGCAGTGATGTTTCTACTTTGTGCATGCGTTGTGCAGTGACTGTTCGTGCTCATTTGACTGGATGGCTAATGACCCTGAAAAAGACCTTTGTACTGGCTCCCAGCTCAGTTCTCCGCATTGTTGTCCTCATCACCAGTCTGGTTGTGCTGCCTTATATGGGGTAAGTCAGCACTTCAGAGGGTCACAGAGGTCAAAACTGATCCAGGTTTACTGTTGGTTATTATAGTATTGTAGTATATTTTTCCGGTCGTATGTTTATATGCCTCATTTTAATCCCTGAAAACAGAAGGACGACTAGAAAATAAATTTAGTCCCACATTTCTAACACTTTAAAATCATTTTTATAAAGAGCAGCAGCAAATTAAAACGGATTATGATTGATTGTATTTTAGGGTTCATGGGGCCACACTTGGTGTTGGATCCTTACTGGCCGGTTTCGTAGGGGAGTCAACAATGGTTGCCATAGCAGCGTGCTATGTTTATCGACAGCAGGTAAGAACACCTGGGTTCAGTCACTGCAAATCTAAAAGCGCACCCTTTATTCTATACATTTTACAACCTCCACCAGCAGCTGCTTTGCACCAGGTTTGTCCTGATAATCCAGCCATGAATACATAACTGCAGCTATGTGTCTGCACAGCTAATTAATGTTTGGGTGTTCAAAATCAAGTGTCTTTGGTGTTATCACTGAAATTTGTATTTAATAACATTGGTTTAGCAGCCCACAGTATGAACTGTGCAGTGGAGCTTTTCGAGTTCTTTGCTTACTGTGCTGATTGTCAGGGAAAATACCTTTTGCATCTGTGATTTTGTTTGATATTGTAACTGTTACAAAGTTATATGGAAGAACAAGATTTCAAAGCCCAAGAAATATTTCAAAACAGATCAATATCCCTGAATGACAGCTGGTTAGCGACAGACTTCAGCTTGGTTATCTTTGTCCAAAGTTGCTTTCAAAGGAATAATAGACATATTGAGAAATTTGTTTTCTTGCTAGAGGTCTTTCTGTTCAGCATGAACCTACAGATAGAAGCTTGTTAGCCAACATCCAGCCTGGTTCTGTCGAATGGTAACACAACCTATAAAGCTCACTCATACGTTTGATTCTGTTTTATCCAATCCGACTTGTTCTGTAACAAGTTTTTAGTTAACTTTATTTTACAGATCCGATTTCCTAATAATTTCATAGAGGTTTCCTGGAAAGAACCATGTAGTTTGGTATTAATTATGGAAAAATACAGACATGCTTTTAAGAGGTTTTTTTTTTTTTTTTTTTTTATAAAGTTGGTCCACTGAGTTGTGTTGAGTTTATTTTTCAGATGAATTTCCATGACAGAAATTGCTGAATGTAAACCTAATTAATATTTACTGTTTATGTATTATTTGAAATGGTATTCTTCATTTATGCTAAATTTGATGGTTTGTGGACAAATTTAACATTTTTGCATGTGTAGTTCACCTTCTGAACTACACAATAAAAGCCTCACGTTTGTGCTAGCTTAGCATTTAGAAATAACTGGAAGTGATCACCCTCTAATTTTACAGAATTTACAGACCTGTAAAATAAAGCGTTACCACCCTCCTGAAGGTATTAAGTGCTGGACTATTAATTAGGTGGACATAGTGACCTCTGGGTGTTTGATTACATGACTACACAAAAATAACTGTAAAACAGAAGTTTGTGGATTAAACAAACAGGGAATAAGGTGTTAATCAGTGAGCTTTAGAGGTCCTGGTGAGATGAATTATTTTTCCGCATTTCTATTATTTGTGCTAAGCTAACCATCAAAACGTGCAAACATCTTTTCATGTAGCCCTTGTCAAAAGAATATTAATACTATCCTAATAGTGATTAGACATTCTCCATATTTTTAACTTGCTCACATTAGTTGTATTTGACACATTAATTGAAGAAAGATTTGCACATGGTGCTACACAATATACTCTTCTGGGGTCTAAAAAGTCCCATGTTTCTTCCCAGTAGAGAAATTAAGTGCACATTTTTGAACTTTGCCCTTTTCAGCAGCAGCAGCAGCCCTAAAAGCAGTGACACTCTTCTAAATATTGCAGCGTTCCAGAGGAAGTTGGGGGTGTTAGGACAGCTCCTGAGTTATTGTTGTTGTTAATACAGCACGCAGAGTGTCGTACCAGGAGTGTGGCCAGTTGTAAAACTAGTGGCATCCCTCCGTATTTGGTCATAGTGCGTCTCTCTTTGCTGTGTGTTTGGCATTTTCTGTCAAAACACTGATAAAGAGGAAAAAGTGGTCTCGACTCGTTTCTGAAATCACCCATAGCTTGCCACAATACTAGTTTGTAATGAATTAATGCTAAGAACCAAATACGTGGCCTAATGAAGTTTACTTGCTTCAGGAGGCTCTGCGTGCTCCTAAATACTCGCAATTTTGCAATAAAAAAGTGAGGAGGTATAACTCTTTAATTGAAGAAACTTCCGATAGACCCCGGCTCTTGGTGGGCAGTCTTCTGTCTCGACCAGTTGGGGTGAGTGGATAGAGGAGAGAGAAATGAAAAGCACCAAAAAAACGGCAAGCAAACAAACTGGGTAAGTTAATTTGGCCAGTGACAGCTCATCAGAAACCTAGAGCTCCAGACCCAGGGTTACCTGCAGAAAGGTACAGGGAGAGAGAGGAGATGCTGCAAGAGTGAGAAGAGGAAAAAGATAATGATATGCAATGGTGGAATATAAACGTATGGAGAGTGAGGAGAGGTGCTCAGAGCATCATGGGGCCCCCCAGCAGCCTAGGCCTATAGCAGCATAACTAAGGGAAGGCTCAGGGTCACCTGATCCAGCCCTAACTATAAGCTTTATCAAAAAGGAACGTCTTAAGTCTAATCTTAAAGGTAGAGAGGGTGTCCGCCTCCCAAACTGAGACTGGGAGTTGGTTCCATAGGAGAGGAGCTTGATAGCTAAAGGCTCTGCCTCCCATTCTACTTCTGTGGACTCTAGGAACCACAAGTAAACCTGCACTCTGAGAGC